AACTTACCCGATAAGGAGAATAGACTGGAATGTCACTTGGCTGGTCATTAGGGCACTACAGTGTTCATATAGTCATCCAAACAGGTACTGTATAAGTCACTTTTTGAGGAAAAGAAGAAATTCTGGTTTATTTTTTATTTGTGTTACTGTTAATTTACATGTTCTAATGTTAAATTCGACTGCCTAAGACTACTGTGTGTATGTGTGGATCACGTTTATATTACATTGTGAGGACCAAATGTCACAATAATGTGATGAAACCTTATTTTGACGTTGTGGGGACCATTGCTTTTCGGTCCCTGCAAGAGGAAACTCAATGTTATAAAAATCTGTGACTGCAATCAAAAAACTGGTCTTCTAAATAAGACTATAAAGCACGCAGATGGCCACTAGTTCCTGGAGTGACAAACGGTACCTTGCGGCATAACTGGTCTTTTAATAAGATTGATTATATTCAATAGCGTACAGGATTTACACAGCACAACACTCACCGTGATGATTCCCCACTTGCTGCAGTGCATTTTCTTGGCTGTATTAAGGCTACAGTATATGTGGTACAAATGAGACGCCCATCTTGGGCTAAATGTGGACCAAAATAGACGGACTAAACCCAGCTCAATTTTCAATGACTGCTTCTGGTCTAAATAAAGGCTGTAAGGGGCCGACAAGATTTAGCCCATAAAACAATATCCCATGGACGTCTGCTGCTTGGTGGGACAGCAGAAAGATGCTGGAAGTCGTGTGGTTCTACTCCAATATATCACGGCTGTGATTATTTACAACCGAATCTCAGCTGAGATATATTGGAGTACAATTACACTCCTTCTCGTATGTTATTGCTTACATATAAGGTGCTGTAATCATCTTTCCAGCGCTGAATGCTTATGTCCAGCTCTCACACAGGCCCGTCCCCAAACATGCCCGTCACGGATTTGCATCCGTGAGAAGACTGTCAAGGCATTTTTTTCAAAGAGCAACAGCTATCTGAAGATCATGGTGGTCCAGGGGAAGCTTCCATGTGATCAGGAAGGACTTGTCCGGGCAAACTACATCATCCAGAGCACAGCACTGCAGAAGGGCCAGGAGTCACTGTACTTTTACTACTTGGTGAGTCTGTAGACGATGACTGAGAGGCTATGGGCCAGAGACCCTACATCCACTAACAATCACAGGACAGGCTGTGGAGCAGCTGCTCAGGTAGGTACTTATGCTGAACTTCAGTGCACCGTACTACAGTACAGCTACAAAAAGGGTGCTAGCTTTGTGTAATATCTGGGGTGAACTAACTTGTCAGAGGGCCCTAAGCTGACATGGGTAGGGGCCCCCAAGTGGCCATTTGAGTTCTTTTTCGCCGATTGGGAAGAGGGGGGTATCGCGTCGGCGGATCTATCTGCCAAATTTAAGAAGTGTAGCTGTTTCCTTTTTTGCTAAGGTTTGTCTTGAATTTTTCCATACATTCATTGGACTGTGTTCCTTTTGTCTACAAGCGATGGGCGATGTTGGGTCCTACTTCACGTCATCGCAAAGCGGCACTGGGCATGACGCAGGTGTTTATGCTTGCATGAGCCTGACGCTGCTGTCATATTTCCATCCAGTGCCCACGTTGTGTAAACAGCAAATGTACCTGAGTGCCCGTGTGTGTCGCTCTTAAAATGAGATGAAGTCAGGAGTACTGCAGGTATACAGCGATCTTTAGGCAGTGGAAAGTGATTGCGCTGTTGACGAACAAAAACCTGGTGGGTGTTCTTCGTACGTGGACTCACTACTGTTCCAGACGTTATTGCTGATGATCCCAGATTTTGCAGTTCTTCAAAACTCTTGTTGGATGGTTGTCACAGAAAGAAAGCCATCATTATGCTCAAACCGGTAGCCCCCAAAATGTTTCAGATTGTAAGCAACCCGCTTTCAGTCATGAACTGTTTTTGCCGTTGAAATTTTCATTCTGTATAAATCTGAGATCTAATCTTGTTTACACTGAGTAAACCTGCGCTGAGCATGATAATTTCTTGAAAGTAGGGCCCATGATATTAACCTTTTTTAAAAAAAAAATTATTTAACATACATATTGTTTTTATTTTGCAAACTGCAGCCTGGTTCTTCCCTGTTTCTCATTAATGAAGGGCTTCATCCTTGCTTTATGGGACTTCAGTCCTGCTTTTCTGAGCCTGATATGAACTGTCCTAACAGTGCACTTCACACCTGCACTTAATGTTTCCCATTCTTTTTGAAGGTCACTTGATGTCATCCTCCGATTTATGAGGCACTGACAGAAACGCTGACTGTCATTTTTGGCATTAGAAAGTTGCTTCTGTCCTCTCCCTGGCTGGTTTTTGGTTGTTCCCAGTGTCTCCTGCTTCACCCTATTCTTGTGTACAAGCTGCTGCTCAGCATTGCCTTCTGCCAGCAGAACCACAGTTAAGCCAGGAATTAAAAAATGCAGATGTGTTTTAAAATACAGAGTGGTCTCTTAATTTTTTCCATGGCTGTAAGTTAGTGACACAAAGTAAGACAGAACACAGGTCGAAGACAAGCCCAGTCCGCAGCCTCTCGGAGCAGCCAGCGTCTCCATACCCACCTGGGCTCTTTGTTCCTTCTCTGTCCCTCCCCATGTGATCAGGTATTTTCCAGAGGCCACCTTGTGCAGAATGGACAGCTGGAAATAGCAGTGAAGGAAGCAGAAGGTGATTCATTTAGACCCTTAAGTTACTTTTTAATTCCTGTAATGTTTGGAAAAGTAATGATGTGACTTCCTGTAAATAACATATACTGTATATCTCTGTGTTCATCCACATGGGTTCCCATGGCCGTTTATTGTTCTAGTGAACACTGGTGAGCTTACTGTCCCACTGAGGCAGATAAGATCCTGGGCTCCCTATGCCCAGCTGGTGATTTACACGCTGCTGCCCACTCAGGAGATCGTGGCAGACAGCTACAGTGTTCCCATCCAGAAATGCCTGAATAACAAGGTAACCGGCAGGACAGATTATCTTCAGACAAGAGGCCTGAGTGAAGACCCTGCTTTCTGTTAACAGTGCTGTTTACCGTTACTGTTCTCCAGGTGTCCCTCAAGTTCCCCTCCCTCCAGCAGCTTCCAGGGGAGGAGACGTCACTGGAGCTGACGGCTCACCCGGGGTCGCTGTGTTCGTTGAGGGCCATCGACCAGAGCATGCTTCTGATGGCACCAGAACAGGAGCTGACTGTGGACTGGGTAGGAAATCTATCTGTCATAGACAGACACACAAGGAATCTACCTGAAATGAGTGAATACCTACACCACATAGCCCTCATCTCTCTGACTGTGTATTTAATTACACAACTGTGTCAGCAGAGGGTGTGGCTGTCATGGGCGGCACAGGGAAGTAGGCGAAGGAAGCCGTGGATACAACAAAGGGATTTATTAACGGGGTGACACAATCCAAAACACACGTAACGTCAATGACAGGACTGAGAAAACATACTCTGACATGGACTTAAATACACTGAACTAATCGGAAATAACGCAAACCAGCTGGTAAACACAGGGAATTCACATGGGTAGATGAGGGGGCGTGGCACACGGGAGGAACGAAGAAGCAAAGAAGACATGGCTAAATTAGACAATTACTCTAATTAACAGGCCACATAAAGTTGTTTGTTTACAAACCAACCAAACTGGAATGTAGGTAGTAATGTTAAATTAGCCAGCAATTCTATCCTTACAAGAATCATTGCTTTAGCAGTATAGTAATAAAATTAATTATCAAGGTATGCTTTATATGTACATACTGCACTAATAAAGGAAATTGACTAATTGTAGCATACTTTTTTAACACTAAATTTTCAAAAGTTTTGAGTACAAATGGCTGGTTATCACTTTGGTCAATAACTGCATTTCTGAACCCAGTTTACAACAAATACAGATGTTGCATTTTTCCTGTTTCCTCCAAAACCTTTGTACGACTGCTCCGGGCCATTCGGAAATGTGCGAACTTTCTCACTGCATGTTTTGTTTGTTATTCATTTGTAAATCCCCAAATCTTCGCATAAATGAGTGTAGCAATGTTTTGCAGCTATTTTGTTTATACGAAGCCTTTATAAATGAGCCTTTTGACTCCATGAAGACCCCGCCTCCCAAAGCATCCATTTGTCATACCTCTGTTTTTTTACGTGCTGTTCCTTAACTTGGGGTGCTTCACACATAATAGCTTTATTAAGTAGCCTGCGTTTGTCACACCTATAGTATCTCTATTTTCACCTCTTAGCTTGGATATCAAGATCAAGAATCACTTATTGTCCATTTGCTATGACTTATTATTACTCCCCCAGAATAAATAAGCTGTTAACAGTTTGATTTTTAAAAAAATCCAAATTCACCAAGTAACAAATGCTGGACTAAATCTTTTCATTTTAAAAATTTACCTCCAGAAAAAAACAGCTGAAAGATGTTGGTCCTACTTGCCCAGGTAGGGGACCTTCCAGATTGAGTGGACAGGCTTTTGGCCCCAGCCGGGGTGGATCCAGTGGTCGTGGTGCATGTTGGCACCAACGACATAGGAAAGGGCAGAAGGGCTGTTCTGCAAGATAAATTTATAGAAGTCGCGGATAAGCTTAGATGCAGAACATCCACGGTGGTATTCTCTGGAATACTTCCCGTGCCACGTGCAAGTCAGGCTAAGTTAGCTGAGATAAGGGGATTAAATGCGTGGCTAAAATGGTGGTGTAGGAAAGAGGGGTTCAGGTTTATGGGGCACTGGAAGACCTTCTGGAACAGGTGGGACCTGTTCAAGCCGGACGGGTTGCATCTGAACCATAGGGGAACCAGTGTATTGGGGAGGCGTATGTGCAGAATAGTTGAGGAATGTTTAAACTAGGGACTGGGGGGGCAGGGAGTTCAGTTAAGAATTTATGTGGGGAGAGACAGAAAGCCCAAATAAATATTAAGAGTAGACACTGTAAAAGGCCTACCATT